TTGTGCTCGTAGAAACCCTATAACCACTACCACAGGAAAGGGCTCAAACTAGCTTACTGGATGCTAACACACGGACTAGTTATTCTTACTGCTTATGCTGATAACCACCCTACCACCTGATACGTAACTGAGGCCATTGGCCACAAATGTTTGAGTATGTCCAGTCATCAATATGTGATATGGAGAAAAGCCATTTTATCTGAGCCCAGCCCAGATTGCCTATCCACAGAATTATGAACAAATAAGCCATTGCCTTTTGCAGTTTTGTGATACAAATGATACTGACACAAGTTAACAATAATTGCTAATGTGACACCACATGCTGGTATGTGTGTGGCCTAAGGAATAATGGACTGTATCAGTGTATCTGTCTGCTAGAGCACCTCATGCCTCATCGCAGACAGGTATCCAAAACTAAGCTCGTCATCATCCTGCCTCACCAACTATTACCACCATCAAATGTCTCCCTGTATTGTGTCACCTAAAACAAATCTGGGAGCAAATTCCTGATTTGTGCTTCACCTTCCACATCCAAACAATTACCATGTTGTCTGTTTTTACCACCATTCCCAGTGCTTCCTCTCCACTACCTGATTTGAATGTATAAGGCCCTCATCCAGCTCTTACCTCATTTCTTTAAAATTTCCTTTCTTAATTTTTTTTAACTTTCAGTTTTAAGTTTAGGGGTACATGTGCAGTTTGTTATCTAGGTAAACCCGTGTCATGGGGGTTTGCTGTACAGATTATTTCTTCACCCAGGTATTAAGCCTAGTACCCATTAGTTATTTTTCCTGATGCTCTCCCTCCTCCCACTCCACCCTCCGATAGGCGGAGTCTGTTGTTCTCTATGTGTCTGTGTGTTGTCATCATTTAGTTCCTATTCGTAAGAACACGTGGTATTTGGTTTTCTGTTCCTCTGTTAGTTTTCTTTTTTTTTTTTTTTGAGACGGAGTTTCGCTCTTGTTACCCAGACTGGAGTGCAATGGCGCGATCTCGGCTCACCGCAACCTCCGCCTCCTAGGTTCAGGCAATTCTCCTGCCTCAGCCTCCTGAGTAGCTGGGATTACAGGCACGCGCCACCATGCACAGCTAATTTTTTGTATTTTTAGTAGAGACGGGGTTTCACCATGTTGACCAGGATGGCCTTGATCTGTTGACCTCGTGATCCACTCGCCTCGGCCTCCCAAAGTGCTGGGATTACAGGCTTGAGCCACCGCGCCCGGCCCCTCCTGTGTTAGTTTTCTAAGGATAATGACCTCTAGCTCCATTATGTCCATCTATGTGCAGAGGACACAATCTTGTTCTTTTTATGGCTGCATAGTATTCCATGGTATATATGGACCACATTTTCTTTATCCAGTTTACCACTGATAAACATTTAGGTTGATTCCATGTCTTTGCTATTGTGAATAGTGCTTCAGTGAACATATGTGTACTTGTGTCTGTAATAATAAAATGATTTATATCACTTTGGGTATATATGCCCAATAAAGGGATTGTTGGGTCAAATGGTAGTTCTGGGGTTGCAGAGAAAAAGGAATGCTTATACACTGTTAGTGGGAGTATAAATTTGACTTTTTAATAATAGCTGTTCTGACTGGTATGAGATGGTATCTCTGTGGTTCTGATTTTCATTTCTCTAATGATCAGTGATGTTGAGCACTTTTTTTCATATGCTTGTTGTCCGCATTATAATTTCTCATTGCTATGATTTGAATGTGTCTGCTCCAAAATTCAGGTGTTGACAATATGACAGCATTCGGAGGTGCTGCATTTAAGAGGTGGTAAGACCATGCGGATTCTTCCCTCATGGATGAGATTAGGTGCCCATCTAAAGGGGCTTGATAAAGGGAATGTGCCCCTTTTTTCCTTTCTACCTTCTGGAGGACAGTGTTAAAAGCACCATCTTGGAAGCCGAGAGCAGCCCTCGCTAGATGCTAGCACCTTAAGGTTAAGAGTTTTTATCCTCCAGAAATGTGAGGAATAAATTTCTGTTCTTTAAAAATTACCTAGTCTGTGGTGGTCTGTTATAGCAGCACAAATAGACTAAGATATTAATGTTTTGTGCCTCTCTAATCCATCTTTCACTTAGTTGCCAGAATGATCTTTCTAAAATTCAGACCTAAACATGTCACTCACCTGCTTAAACTCTTCAATGTTTCTCCATTGCTTTCGGGATAAAATCCAAAATTCTTGGTGTGGCATGCAATACCCTTCAGAGGTCTGACCTCTTGTCTACTTCCTCAGAATCAGTTCCTGTCGATTCTCAAAAGGTACCTTATGCTACAGCCAGTCCTAACTACTTATAGTCTCCAAAAGATTCATATGTTTTCAGTCTTCTTGTCCTGTGGAAACTGTTCCCTCTGATCATAAGACTCCATTTGCCCTTGCAATCTATTTTCTACATGTTCGCACCTCAACCATTTTGTGATAAAATACATATAACATAAAATTTACCATTTTAGCCATTTTCAAGTAGAATTTAGTGGCATTAATTACATTCACATTGTTGTGTAACTATCACCACTGTCCATCTCCAGAAAATGTTTAATATCCCAAACCGAAATAGTGTATTCAGTAAGCAGTAACTCCTCATTACCTAACCTTTACCCTCAACCCCTGGCAACAACTCCCATATGTTCTTTTTAAGGCTCTCCTAAAAACATCATCAGCTATCTGCCTCCCAAGCTCAGTTGAGGGTTTCTCTTCTCCGCTGACATGGTAGTCTATTGCAGGGTTTGGCACTCTGCACTGTTCATGTTATTTTAAACCTCAACTTCCTCCCCTAAACTGTGAACTTCTTAAGGACAAGAACCATTGTCTCAATCTCTGTATGTCTTTGGGTGACAATGTTGTGTACCACGTTTTATAAATGCAAGTCATCAAATCTGCTTATTGCTTTTGAATCACTTAGAGAGCCTTTAAAAACAGACTTTTGGAGAGTCTCACTCAAGTAAATCTGGGGAGGGAGTGAGGAATTTTGAATATTTTGGAATAATTTTGAAAATTTTGAAATTTTGGAATACTCTCCAGGTAATTCTGATATGTACAAGCAAGCCATCAAGATTTGGAAGTAAAATTGATCTAAAGGACTATGCCCAAGTAAGATGGTCTTTTATTCTTGATAAATCATTAAAAAGAAGCCAATTCATTTCTCTTGATTTTCATATTGAGCCTCTTGCTTTAGAGAATTACAATAAGGAAACTGGAATCTCTTAGCAATGATTTTTCTCAACCATTATCCTTGCACTACGAGTTATATAATAAAAACATGCCATTTCCATACTTTTTTTTGGTGGGGGACAGGGTCTTCCTCTATTACCCAGGATGAAGTGCAGTGGTGCGATTATAGCTCATTGCAACCTTGAACTCCTGGGCTTAAGGGATCTTCTTGCCTCAGCCTGCTGAGTAGTCGGGACTACAGGCCTGCATGCACCACCTCGCCTGGGTAATTTTTGAAAAATTATTTTGTAGAGAAGAGTCTCACTTTGTTGCCCAGGCTGGTCTCAAATTCCTGGGCTACAGTGATCCTCCCACCTCAGCCTCCCAAAGGGCTGGGATTACAGGAATGAGCCACCACACCTGGCCTTCATTTCTTTGTTGACTTACCAAAGTTCTTTTAAATTTTCCTCCAACAATCCTATAAGGTAGACTATTAGATCCAATATGCTTTATTATCTTACCGTTTGCTTTGGCATTATGCACTTACCAAAGCCCTACCAACCTAGTTGTCCCAGGGCCACTTCAAATCTGCTTATGCATACAGCAATAAATATTTTCTCAAACATTTAACTATGTGTTTGTCACTGTTAGGTACCAGAGGAAACAGCAGTGAACTAGTCTAAATCCTGCCTGCATGGAGCTTACATTCTAGTTAGGAGCCTTCTCAGAGTGCCTCCAGTAAAAACATTTTCCCTGGCCTGTCCTAGTCTGACTCTTCTGATAAGGAATTCCATCATTCCAGACCACCCTTATTAGATAAAGGGTAACATTTGCTCCAGGCCACGCCATGTCTTTTTCATGATGATCCGCCGCTATGGCGCTTGTCTGGTATGCAGCGTTGAGGCTGTACATTGGCTTCATGTTTACATCTGTTTTCCGTGACACTGTGCAGCTGAATGAGTTGGGTGTCTCGTCTCCGGGAGGACAAGACTCCTGTCTGTAGCTAGTTTATGTCCTCCCACGCTTCATGAGTACTTTTCAGTGATTTTTACATCAAAATAAGCCTGGGGATAACCAGAATAAGTGGATAACCAGAAAACCTAGCGGAAAAAAAAAAAAAAAACAGAAAAAATTTCGTAGAAGTACGTTAAACAATGTCATAGCTGGAAGAGACATTCGAGATGTAGCCCCACTGCCTTTTATAGATCAGAAAACAGAGACCCAGAGAGGTGACCTGAGTCGCCTCCGGTCACACAGCCCAACTGAAGGATGTGGACCGGTAGTCACATCTAATTTACAATCACACTGGCGGCGTTCCTCCTAAAATTTAACGTCTAAATGAGATCCAGCCGCGTCACCGCTTCTACCCCACCGTCTTTTCTAGTATTCATTCCACGCCGCTCTTTCTTGAAGAGTCAAGTCGTCAAAATACCAAGTGGAGGCATTCCACAAACAGGTGTCCAGACCACGGCCACGCGGACTCGGAGTCGGGGAATCTGGATCCCCACATGCCAGCCGACAACTCTCCAGCTCCCGCTTACAAAGTTTCCTCGCGTGGTACGTACATTTTTCCGATCCCTAGCTGCGAGGCCGAGATGCTTTCTGTTGTGGCCTCCGACGAAGTTCGGAGATGCCCTTTCCTTGCGAAAGCCGGGCCCGGGCGCGTCGGCCGAGGGGTCGGGCGTCCTAGGGCCTGGAGGGCGGCGAGGGATAGCTGGGCGCGGAGCGGGGCGGCCCCTAGGCGCGCGCTGCCTGCCCGAGCTGCGAAAGCCGCGGGCCCGCGAGCCCCGGCGCGGAGCGAGAGGCGCGCGCGGGCCGTGGGGGCTGGGCCGAGGCGGAGCGCGAGGCAGCGGCGGCGGCGGCGGGAGGCGCCGCGGGACTAAGCAGCGGCCCCCGCCCCCCGAAGCCCGTCCCCGCGCGGAGCTGGGGAGCTCAGGGCGGGGAAGCCGCGGGGCCGCGCCACGTCCCTCGCCCGCCCCAGAGCGGGTTTTGCAGGCGGCTCCAGTGTGGGGGCTTTTGTGTCTGCGACTCGAGAGCAGCGAGAGAGCAGACCTCCTCCTCAGAGGGCGCTGTGAGTGTGCCGCCAGGGCCCGGCCGCCCGCCTCCTGCCTCCCCTGTCAGCGGCTCCTGAGGCGGCGGCGGCGAAGAAGAAGGAGTGGGAGGAGGCGGCGGCGGCGCACTCTCCCTCAGCACATGCCGGCCCCGGGCGGGGGGCCGCCCCCAGGCCGTGCTCCCGGCCACTGCCGCTGAGCCCCGCCGGTGCCCGCACACCGCCCCGCCGCTTCGAGGCCTCGTTCTCCTCCCAAACTTTGCAAAGTCGGCCCGCGTCCCCACCGCCCTCGGCCGTGCCTCGGCTCCGAGACTCGCCTCGCAGCCGCAGCGGCCCCGCGAGGAGGAGGAGCCGCCGCCGCAGCATCAAAGAGACCGAATTCCCGCGGCCTGGGGGGGAGTCATGCTTTGCGGTCTGTAATGTCAGCAGAACAGGAGAAGGATCCCATTTCGCTGAAGAGAGTTCGAGGTAACCGAGCAGGGTGCCGGATTGGGGGGACCGGGGTGAGTGAGGTACGCGGGGCCCCGTGCCCGGCCGCCGGGAGGCCATGGGGCTCTGTCCGGGCCTAACTCCGCGCAGCCCGCGTCCCGCCCGCGCCCCGGGGCCGAGGCTGAGATCCAGGCGCGCGGCCCGGGCGTCCGCTGGCCCCCTAGACACCCGCGCGGATCCCTCGCCTCCCGACTTTGTGTTCGGAGGCAGTTGGAGCCGCACACAGCATCCCTTCTTACCCCCTCCTCGCCCACCTCTCCTCGTTCGCAAGACACAGCACAATAGGCACCTCAAAGGGTGAAAAACAGACACCCCCTAGCAGAGACCTCGAAAGATGCCCACCCCCTCAAAAAGTAAGTTGGACTACACAAGAGTTGACGCTGTCGAAGAAGGGCGCCTGGGCTTTCACGTCTCTCCTGGCCCCCTTCTCACCCCGGCAAGGGCAACAGACACTCAGTTTATTTTCCTTAGGTTTAAGAGGAGAAACTATACAAATTCAAAAGGCATTTTCTCTGTTGGTTTACGGATAAGAAATGATCTAAACTCAGTGTTACGCATGGTTGGTTTTCTTCTTTCTTGCACACTGGTTAGGAATTTTCCTGTCGTCTTACTCCTATCTAAGAAAAATCAGAGGGAACCGTGTGTCAAACAAAAGATAATGCGTATAAGTTCACAAAAGTCAGGTGCCGCCCGGAAATTGGGGGATTTCTTTTAGCTTTTAATAGAGTTAAGACTGAAAGTCCTAGAGTTGAAGTAATACTCATTGTTCGTTATGCAAATATTTATTGAACATCTACTGTGTGCTAGACACTGTTCTTGGTACTGGGATACAGCAGTGAAAAAAAACAGATAGACGATCTTCACCCAGAAGGAATTCACTTTCTTGTGGGGTAAACAAACGTTAAACAGTAGATACAGAATGTCAAACCGTAGATGGTATGGTGGACAAGAAAATAGGAAAAGAGGAGAGGAAATTGCGTGGGGGTGGGAGGTATGGATTGTACGTAAGGTGATGAAAGGGCTCACCTGGAAGGTGATATTTGAGCGAAGACCCAAAGGAAATGATAGAGCAGGGCCATATGGATTCACGTGGGAAGAGCAAAAGCAACAGTAAATGCAAAGGCAACAGTAAATGCAAAGGCCCTGTGTCTGGAATATGCCCAGTGTATGCAATCAGCAGCAAAGAAGCTATTGCAACTGCAGCAAAGTGATCAAGGGAAGAGTCCTGTGACCGGAGCTGAGGGGTGGGATGATTGTGTTATTAGAGGCCTGGAGTGCCATTTAAAACACTTTGGCTTTTACTCTGAGAAAAGGTCTGCAGAGTTTTGTCTGTAAGGATGAATGATCAGACATTTTAAACGGTATCTTTGGCTGCTGTGCGGAAAATAGACTGTAGAGAAAAGGCAAAAGCAGAGGAGACTAGTAAGGAAGCTTTTGCGAACAGGGTAAAGGGGTAAAGTGCTTTATAAATTAGTAAGTAGTAAAGTAAATTTCCGGCTTGCTTAAGTGATGTAGAGATGAAGGGCCACAAGTCATTCATTTTTGTTTTTTTTCAGCGTGTCTAGAAATTAAGCATGTATAGAACCGGCTTGTGACACACAATCCAAAAGATATCCACTCAAGAGTATTTTGGTAGTAAATGATTTTCTTAGCCACTGAAGCAAAAACATAATTTAGAGCAGAATATTATCTTTACAGGCTTAATATCAGCATAACCTTTCATTTGGTGAAATATTTTAATTGTCTTTTCTGTTTGTGGTTGTGAGTTGGCAAAGCCTTTAAGGAATAGAGCTTCCTGAGATACAATTATTCCCCTGATATTTTTTACTGTATAATTTTGCCTACTGTTATAAACTGTTATGAGGTTGAAGGAAAAGAAAGAGCTATCAAGTTTATACCTTTGAACTGAATTATCAGTCCTAATCAAATGTAATTCTAAATAAAATAGATGAGTGTTTTATTGTGGATCAGAAGCACAGCTCTATCTTCATTTTGTTTCAACTGCTGCTTTTAAGTTCTATGCTTTAGCTATTGGGGTTGGCTCAGGTGTCAGCTCAAGAATATCCTGAGAGTTAAGTACCAGAATAAAAGACAAAACACTTTTAAAAATAAGTCAGTATTTTTTATGTTATGGGGAGGATTTTCATAATGCCGTTTTGTAATAATTAAAACATTAATTTAAAAAACCATTTTTGCATTATTTTATAGTGCGCTCTTCTGAAGCACAATTCTGCCGAACCTCATTGCCTTGGAACTTTTTGTTATTCAGTGTAATTTATATCATAAGACTGCATGCAGGATGTGGTGTTTGCAGGGCATAAACTCTGGAGCAGTGCTTTTCAAACTTTCCCATCTGCTGATGTAACAGAGACAGATCCTTTTAATGGTTGTGTATTATTTCATATGTATTAAAACAAAAAAGTCATCTAATACCTTGCTTATGATAAGGCTAAGATACATATTTATGTGTATATATTTACACATATAGCAATTTAAATGAATTAACACACATATAGCAATTAAATGAATTACTAAGAAAATAATATTATAGGTGGACCTCAGATATGGTAAAATTATAACATGAATGACTTAGGACTTTACAGTAGTATGTTCTACAGACCAAAAGCATCAAAATCACTTGTGATGCTTGTTAAAATATAGATTTGTGTATCTGTGGAATCGGGACTTCTGGGATCCACGGAATCAGGACTTCTGCATCTTTAACAAGATCTCCAGGTGCTCCTTATGCATACTAAAGTTTGAGTACTGCTACTAATGGACGTAAATTACAAAGGTGAGTAGACCAGAAGCAGCTGGCTGTGGACTTCCAAACTGTCCCTATATTTTAGCATTAGATTTAGAATTACTTTTAAGTGACATAGTATCTTACTCCTATTTTCTACCAATTCTTAACACTCCACCCCAAACCTTCACCTTTTGATTATAAGACGAATCTGGGAGGACAGGCACTGTGTCTCGATTATCTTATTTGGCTTACTCATAGTAAATGTCAAATGAATGAATGAGTGAATACATGAATTACACTGCTTTTTGATAGTCTATTGGCTGCCATACTACTTTTACTTGCCATTTTCCACTAAAATGTCAACTGTCATCCTTATTTTAACCAACACTCTCATTCTCCAGTATTCCTACAACTCTTTCAGGCATTGATCTGATGGCAATATTCATTTATTCAACAAATATTTATTGAGCAGTCACAGTGCCATATAGTGGGATTACACTGATTAAGATATGACTCTGGCTGGGTGCGGTGGCTCACGCTTGTAATCCCAGCACCTTGGAAGACTGAAGGCAGGTTGATTACTTGACTCCAGGAGTTCAAGACCAGCCTGGGCAACAACCTGTCTCTACTAAAACTACAAAAAATTAGCTGGGCATGGTGGCATGTGCCCACAGTCTTAGCTACTTGGGAGGCTGAGGTGGGAGAATCACCTGAGCCCAGGGAGGTTGAGACTACAGTGAGCTGAGATCACACCACTGCACTCCTGCCTGGGCAATTGGAGTAATACGCTATCTCAGCAACAACAACAAAAAGGATATGACACCTGTCTTCAAGAATTGTTAAGTCTAGTACAGGACAATGACAAATAAACGGCTACAAATAGCATGATAAGGGCTGTGATTATTTATAGGAAATAAAGGAACTTATCTTTTTGAGAATCAAGGGAGTCCTCCTGGAGAAGAGTTCTAAGAAGCAATGAGTGTTCTTTTGTCTTAAGTGATGTACAAAGAGCTTCAGAGGAGATAAAATGTGAGAAAGGGTCTAGAAGTTCTCTTGTGATTTTGAGAAAGCAGTTTTAGGAGGAAACCACATTTCAAAGTGTCGAAGATTAACGTGGGGCCAGGTGTGGTGGCTCGTGACTGTAATCCCAGCACTTTGGAAGCTGAGGAGAGAGGATCTCTTGGGCCCAGGAGTTTGAGACCAGCCTGGGCAACTTATGGAGAACCCATCTATACAAAAAATTTAAAAATTAGTGGTAGTGTGCACCTGTAGTCCAAGCTGCTCAGGAGGCTGAGGTAATGTGGTAAAAGATTAAATGATGAAGATGTGACTTAAAAGAAGTTTGGTGGTAGACAGAAAGACATGGGAGAAAATATGAGTCTTTTTTTCTTCATTGGACGAAGACAAACATATTGTAGATTTACAGAAGAGCCCAATGTAGAAGGAGAGGGGAAAAACTGGAAAGGCTCAGAAAGAGAGGATAATTCATGAATGACTGAAGCATTCAATACATGTTTTAAAAATATCTACCATGTGCTATACACTCATTATTCCAGTAGCTGGTGGATGAGACAGACAAGGTTCCTATTCTCTTAAATCATGTCTTTGCAGATAAGGGAACAGGATTAGCATCAGGTATACACATAGAGGTTTAGTCTTGGAGAAAAAAAGAGACAATGGAGAAAGGAAGAAATTTAGAGATGAAGAAGGAAGTTGAGGTCATTTATTTAAGTGCTTTTAATCAGAGCTGGAAATAACATAGAAGGGATAAGGATGTATTTTAGAATAGAAGAGAACAGAAATATGAAAGTTACTAAAAATGGACTTTAGAAGAAAATACAGACTGTCTTGATGGGATGAATATATGTAGGATTTGGATTAAGGTTGGAAAAGGAGCATAATTTATGCAGTCACAAATTGGGGGTTGGAGAAAAGGCTATGAGAGAAAGTCTGAAGGAAAAGTTTTTTGTTTTTCTTTTTAAAATTGGTCCATGTAAGAGCTAGGCAGATTATCCGGAAAGCGAGTTTGGTTTTAGACACATTGAATGAATATCCTCCTGGGATATTCCAGTGTATGCAGTGGATGTACATGGTTTGGAACTGGGCTGAGTAGTCCAAGACAGAGTAGAGATTTGAACAGGTGAATACAAATTAATACCTTGGGAGTAGACGAGCTCACCGAAGAGAGAGTGACAAGTAAAAAGAGAAAAGCCCTGAAAACACCAACTTTGAACACTAACATTTGGGAGACAAGGGGGGAAAGAGATCCTCAAAAAAAGAATCTGAAGGCGTAGTCAGAGAGGTAGGAGAAAAACCATGAGAGAGTAGTGTTACAGATAATGAAGGAAGAATGGGTTTGTGAGGGGCAGATACATGAATTTTAACCTGTTGAATATAGTTTCTATCCATGAGATGTCTATGATGCTTTTCCCCCATGTTTCCTGTCTTGGGGAACATGGCCATCTTTATCCATCCCCTACTCCCACACAACACTGTTCTAAGTCTTAGAGGATTGCTGTCTCCCTAATGTTTTGAACCCATTGACTTCTTGACCTTTCCACAGCCACTTCTTTAGGTTTTGCTTATCGCTTTGATTATTATAGTAACCCTCTCTTTAGTTTAATGGCTTCCCGTTAGTCCCTCTTAATCCATTTCCACATTACCACTGATAGTGATGAATAACTTAGTACTTTGCTGACTGTTTTAAATGGATCTTCTTGCTTAATCCTCTCAGTAAATCTGTGAATTAGATGTTGTTATTATTTTTGATTTACAGTTGAGGAATTGATGTTCAGAGAGGTTAAGTAGTATGTGCTTAAGTAACATACATGAGTTTTCCCAGTGAGTAAATGGCAAAGCCAGAACTCAAAATCTAGGGCCCAAGATCTTAGCTGCCATCTGCATTGCCATAGTGTTCCCCAAACACAATTGAGTCACGTAAAATTAATCCGTGGTTTCTCATTGCCTTTAGAGTAAAAATCAACCTTTCTTATGTTGGCCCTTATCCCAGGTCTACCACTTAGTTCTCTTCTTCAGAATCCATGAAGTGCTTTGTTTATTTCTTATGTTCCAGTCTTACAATATTCACTCTTCCTCTCTTAATGTTGTTGTGGTCTCTCTTGCTTTTAAAATTTCCTTTGCATATTCTATCCCTTCTGCTAAGCATGCTCCCTTTTTCTCCTACTTCTGGAAGATACTCATCCTTAAAGTTTCAGCACAGTTGAAATCTCCCAGGATGTTTTCCTGAGTTCCCCCTGCACAGTCAAGATTAGATGAGAGTTTGTTATGTTCCCTCAGTATTCTGTGCTCATCTCTATCAGTGTTTATCACATTAAATTTAAGAGTTTCAAAAGAAAAAGATTATTTCCTATAGGTTATAAGATCCTTACAGGGAGGAATTACTACTTTTATTTCTTTTCTACTTCCATAAGCTCAACAAATGTTTTTGAAATCCATTTTGATGAACATTAATGATGAAGTTTTAGTAATTTCAAGGCATCAGTCTTCCTGGATTGCTTTTCCAGGTGTGTAGAGAAGTTACCACTGGGGAACACAGTTCTCTCTTCCGACATTCTTATTCTAGGCAACCCAAGAGGTCTAAATCATCTTTAACGTAAAAATTAGCCTTAAAGTATGGTCAAGCATGATTTCAGACTGAAGCAATTCTTCTGCCTCAGTCTCCCAAGTAGCTGGGATTACAGGCACCCGCCACTGCGCCTGGCTAATATTTGTATTTTTAGTAGAGACGGGGTTACACCATGTTGGCCAGGCTAGTCTCAAACTCCTGACTTTGTGATCCACCCATCTCGGCCTCCCAAATTGCTGAGATTACCACCGTACCCAGATAGGTCTCCTTTTTTATTCCTAATTTCTATAGGTGTGCTAACTGCAATAATGAGAAACAGTACAGCATTTTAACTGTGAGCCTGACTGCCAAGGTTTTTATCCCTGCTCAGCCATTTATTAGCTATATGGTTCTTGGCAAGTTACTTAACCTCTCTGCATCAGTTTCCTCAGCTGCAAAATGAGAATAATAATGGTACTCATCTCATGGAGTTGTTTGAAGGATTAAATTGGTTAATATGTATAAACCACTTAGAACATTGTCTTCTGCATTTTAAGTTATCTGTTTGCTATTAACATCAGAAATAGGTTTAAAATACACATTCTGTTTAAGTGATGTGATCAACATTCACTTTTAGGTGTATTTAATCAGTCAGACAATAAGTGTAAATAACCTACAGCAGATTCTTATTTTGATTACTAGTGGGTATGTAGAGAACAGAAATGTTTTCTTCCTACGTAAAGAAAACAATGAACAAAAAAAATTTTTTAAGCAGAAAACTCTGAGGTTTCACTGTTTTGTTGAAAAAGACAAATAGAAACTGTTTATTGAATAATATTTGTGAATATCTGCAGCTTTGTTCTCCAAGATTTCTGAGGTTTTTTTGTCTAAAAATTTGCCCGGCTTTGTTAAAGAAAGAAGTTCATTATCAGAGGTATTATTGTATAGTTACCTTCGCATGTGAATACCATCCACCTGTTCTCCTAAGCTTTACCTTTCTAAGCAATCTTAAAAACCATGGACCTCAGTAACACAAAGAGGCAAGTGGGAGACCAGTGGGAGTTTGAAGATTTGTTTTATGGAGGGAGATGTTAGATTCTTAAATATAAAATTAATACCATAAAACTCAATTTTCAAAAAGGAATTTTAGGGGTTTTGCTCACAGATTGCTTGAAAATAAAGAATTTATTTAAATGATTCTAAGCCTCAGAGTTTTGCTGTATGGTAATTATAAGCAATTATTTGATTCTTGAAAAGTGAGCAAAGATGATAGATACCATTGAGTACATTTTGTCCGTTTTTAAATTACAGCATTTTAATTGTAAAATTACAGTTGTTCAGTAGTCTTCAGAATGCTGTGGGCTGGACATGGTGGTTTATGCCCATAATACTAGCATTTTGAGAGGCTGAAGTAGTAAGTTTGCTTGAACCCAGGAATTAAAGGCTGCAATGAGTTGTGATGGTGCCACTACACTCCAGCCTG